GAGGAGGAGGAAGACAAAAAAAAAGAAAGGCAGGAAGATAAACCAGACGCGCGTCTGATTTGCTACCCTAAGCCGGTGAAGGGAATGGAGGGAAAAAAAGTAGACATATAGAATAAATTGAGCATACAAGATTCGCACGATCCTTAGACTATGGAGCAGTGTTACACAATGTGAATGCACGGTCTTTGGCGTATCGCGTTACGCTGTAGGTAGACGAGTAAAGCTGCCGACATAACACTTGCAAGTACTCGACACGGACCACCCAGCAGCTGTCGTACAGAGTGAACGCATGGCGATTTGAACTTTGTTTTCGTCGAGCAACACATCATTCACTGATGCTGTGTTCACTATTGCCGATATGCAGTGTGAATCTGCACGTCGTGGTGATTGCGGCTACGTAGTCCAAGTTGCGTCAGGTTACCCATGCCTTCCGTCGTCCTCTATACCTCGTACCAGCCGTTGCCGATCGATGCGGCTGAGACTTTGGCAGTGTAAGCCAAGTGAAACCCACAAAAACTACGCCTTTATTGCACTTTGTTTCATAGCAATCGTGTATAGCACGAGTGGCAAGGGAGGTGGCGAAGCAGGGCACCCAAGGGATGCTGTGGATGCAGATGCATTGATTTTCTCCAATAAATTTTGGCAACAATGGAGCGGTGGTCTAACGGTTGCGGTGGCCTCTCAATGTGATGCATGGTTTCTCCCGGTTTGTCACAATACAGCAATTTCACTTGTCACTTCAGGGCACTCATTTGAGGAGGCTTCGAAGGATTCACTGCAATTTGAACTCTTGGCAAACACTGCGTTTACAACTGTCCGTATACTGCGTTTCAGTGCAGCGCGAACATAGCTCGCTTCTCTTCGCATACGCTTCTAACAAGGCCTAGTTTCATACATTTGTGACGTTGCAGTGGCTTCGGCCTATAAGGTCTCACAGAGTGTCGGAAGTGGCCCATCTTTACATAATAGAGTTAGAGAGTTGCCGGTAAATGTGCATTTTCAAGCAGCGTGAGGTACCCAAACCAGCAACCTTGGTATGACGCTAGCTTCATCTGCTAGCTGGACCAGACGATACAAGTCGGAGCTGAGAGTGACAGTGTAAACGTCAGTAGGATGACGCCGGTGACGACGTTAGAGCCCATGGAATGTAGGAGCGGGAGCGGACGTTGATTCCACTCTGCTCTGTGACGTCGCTTAGTCTGGTCAGTGCGACAGCATGTGGAATATCTACAGAAATGAAGCCCTCACGTGGGTTGCCTCTGATGTCGATGATCTTATCTGAAACCAGTCTCTACAGCATCACCGTAACAGATTGCCTGTTGAGACCCTCCGTGTTACCGTTGAGGGCAGCGAAGATGAAAATGATGGTGCTGGCGTTGTACCTTCGCGGTGTTCTTTCATTACGCGAAGAATTCATAATACACAGAACGTCATGGGTGAAGCAGCATTTTCTAGTCTTTATATTTTATTTGAACAGATGGTGTGCTTGGTGATGGGGCCTCAGAATAATTTCCTGATCGTTACTGAAAAAGGCAGGCAAAGCAGGGTCGCTACAACCAGAGGCGTGCTGCCGGTTCCTCGTGTACTGATACCTTTTTTCGTGAACTATATTTCGAATCGTTACGCTAGTGCACCCAAAGAAGACAAGAAGAGATCTTTCCAAGACTAACGTGAGCCTAATGAATGTATACTAACGTGAGCCTAATGAAGTTAGCCCCACGTTGTGACATGAAAAGCCACGCTAAAATGAGATTATTTCTCTTGGATGCGGATTTGTATTAAGTATTCATTACTTATTAGCTTCATAAAAGGAACTTCATCTCTTATTTGACCTTTTTCAGCCTACTCAGAACACTTGTCCTTGTGTTCTGAGCACGCTAAAAAAAGTTTCAATATAGTACGCAGCAACTCACCAGCTATCAGTATTACTGAACCTCATTGTTCTTAGCAAACTTATGACAAGTAGCATGTAGTGCTAATTTGCTTGAAGTTGACGCGCGCAGAGCTCCACATATGTGAAATTATCTATATTTGAAAAGAACTTCTATGAGCGTGGGCTTGACAGGTGGGCACGTGTAGGACGTTTTACTATTTACTATCAGCTAGTCTCATGAATGACTTTAAATCAAGTTTGTACATTGAACATAGGAAAGGTGGTGTGCTAGACAGACTAACCATAGGAGAATTCTTAAATACTCTCAATGACCACTGTAGAAAACTGAGAATCCAGTAGTGGCACCACTATACACTTCTGCAGATACACCTTCACATACACACAGATGGGGCTTGTGCCAGTGGAGTTGCTCTGACTATTGACAATGACCTCTAATTTGACGCTTACGCTATGTGAGCTGATACACGAAATAAATTTCCTACAGCGGCAGTGAAACCATTCCAGAATCAGTGTAACTCATTGACCAAAGGCCGGGAACACAACACAAAAAGGTGCCAATTAGCACAAAGCATTGTCCTGTCATTTCTACTTGGCATGTTAAACATTTCTAATCAGACGATGGAACTTGATCAGGCTAATATTTTAATTCCTGAAGATATTGACAGCATTGTTTTTGAAGGTTCATTTTCTAGCCTACTCTCGCTAGAAATAGTGCGAAAGAACTGAAAGGCCAGTGAGGACACTATATTTCGCACCATTGTTTGTTCTGTCAGAAAAACAACAACAAAACTTTTCATCTTTTTAAAAACACAACACAGACACATGCTGCAGTGAGTATGGCCAAGTCAACATAACACCTTGTTTTCACGAAAATATGAGAGCTGGTTAGAAAACTAGACGAGCACCATGGTTTTACTTTTGCACTGATTTCCGCAGTTAAAACACAGAACGTACGCCACGTGAAAAGATGCCGTCATATACCTCTCACAGAAAGACAACTCGAGTATTATTTGCCTTACAACTTGTAACTATTTCTTATGACACTAAAGGAATACGTACATGAGACAGACGTGCAGTTCTTTTTTAATTTGATAACATTGCACTAAAAAGAAAATGACCACGTATCTGGGTGCATCGCTGGAAATTTCGCCGAAAGACGATAGTCTTTCGTCAGCCTTCCTTCGTGCGTAGCGTTGCATTTTCAGCGCAGCATAAAAACACTAGAGGCTTTAGAATTACGTATCCCTGAATTGTATAGTAAAGGAACACATCTAATAGTATTCATGTTGTGTCTCAGATATGCGTAATATTTGCTTTTTGACCGACAATGCTCACAAGTATGAATGCAGGCACCATTTCAAGATAGCTGGACATTCAGCAAGAGCTTAAAATTTGTCCGGGTGGCTAAATCTTGTGACAGACAGACAAACAGGCAGGCAGATCCAAATTTCTGCTTTCTAGAATTCAGAGAAAAAACTGTCGTTTTAAAAGGTGTCCTATGTTTATCTCTGTCAACATATCTAATACAAGGGGTAATAAAATACACGAAATACATGCGAAGGCGTTCATAATTTTATTGAGTTTGTGAAATTTCATCCATCCATCTATCTATCTATCTATCTATCTATCTATCTATCTATCTATCTATCTATCTATCTATCTATCTATCTATCTATCTATCTATCTATCTATCTATCTATCTATCTATCTATCTATCTATCTATCTATCTATCTATCTATCTATCTATCTATCTATCTATCTATCTATCTATCTATCTATCTATCTATCTATCTATCTATCTATCTATCTATCTATCTATCTATCTATCTTATCTATCTATCTATCTATCTATCTATCTATCTATCTATCTATCTATCTATCTATCTATCTATCTATCTATCTATCTATCTATCTATCTATCTACTATCTATCTATTCATTCATTCATTCATTTATTTATTCGTTTATTGCCATTCGGGACACTATGGCAGTGCACATTGGAAACGGAACATAATATGAACTTGCAAAATAAAAGTGAACTTGACACAATAAAGATAAGAGGAAAAGGATCACATGACATTCAAAACGTGTTGGTCTGCAGGCCAGTGAGTTAAAGCGTATAGGCTAAACTAAAGAGAACCAGTTGATTTTACCTGTATAATTGCAGAATACAGAACCCGCTATAGATTATCGCATAACACGCATTTAGCGTAATATGCCTTTATATTCAGAAACGATTTGTAGGGAGCTCCTTGCAGGCATATATTAAAGGTAAAACAATTACTAACATATCATCGCCAACGTCACGGAAGAAGTTCCTAACTAACTTATACGCCAGGGCTTTCGTCAGCGAGGATTTCTAGCCAACGTCACCCTCGCCCACGTCTCACCACGAATCACGTCTCGAGACTTGGCGTGGGTTGGAAGGGAGCAAATGAAGAAATGGCGAGGCGGTTGAAGAGAGGGACACCGCAGACGGATAAAAGACGCCGTTCCGCGATTCCGGGCTGCCATAATTTTGGAGATAACTGAGTCGCCTAGTGATCCGGACTCCGCTATCCGATGGTTGCAGCTGGTTGCTACACAGAACTAAGGCTACGATACCAAAGAGTACGAAGCATCGACAACGAGCCACCGTTCACAGTGTCAAGAGATACATAACGTTGGCCTCAGATTACTAGTGTCGTTTGAGTTTGCGCAAAAGTCCCAAACTTTTCCCGTCTGTCCAACGGTCCCCACTAGAAAGGCGGTGAACATTTGGTGCAACGCCTTCGTCGAAAATGCGCGAACAGGAGTCTGCAGCTGCCAGGCGGTATCCCGGACGGAGGAGCGACTACTAACAAGCCGGCGCAACGGGCCGCCCCGCTGCCACGCGCCTCTCTCCACCCAACTTTCTGGAAGCCGCGACAGAGAAGGAGTCTTGGGGAGTACTTTCGCGCCGATCAGCAGCTGTTCCTGCGCAGTCGGCGAGGGAGTTTGGGAGCGCGCTATCCAGCAAATCTTGGGGAGAGGTGGCCGCTCAGGGCGCACCGGACGCAGCCGTCGAGGGAGGGCCCGTCCGCGAACGGAGTCCGAGCGGCACGCCAGCATCAGACGCCGAGACAGCGCCGCACGGAGCGCACGAAAAGGGGAGCGCAATGCTGGTGGCGGCGCGAGCCATGTCCCTGGTGCATGTCGGGCTCCTTCTGCTCTGGTGCGTCACCTCAATGCAGACCACAGGCGTCGCCGTCGCAACGCCCATTCTGGGAAAGGTACGACCTTCATTCGCGCGGGTACTCACGAAAGAATAACTGGCGCGAAGTTTTCAACTTGGATAGACAAATGAAGAGCTGACGACCCAAGTAAAAGTTTCAACCTCGCCTACCTGTTGCGCCGCCCGCGAACAATTTATCAAAAGAAGTAGGCCTTCTAGTTCACGGTTTCGTAATCGCGCGTGAATTCTCTTTTTGAAGTAAAATAAAGTTTCTTTCATCGTGATAGTGTTAAAGTGGGATACCGTCATGAAGTATAAGCAATATATATACTTTTTATATGCTGACTTCCATTGCTTTTGCCGTTTACTGACGGCTTATAGCGTTTAGGTGTGACACCCTCGTATTCAATTTTTTTCCCGTCAATAGTCATTTCAACACCCCATTTCTTGCAGGATGTTACGAACTTCGAATGTTCCGAACGTTTTCCGAGGCAAGCTTTACGTAATCTTTCGTATTTTCTTTTCTTTTTTCTTGTCTGAGATGTCATAGGGCCGTACTTTAAGTTAAGCAATAACATCGAATGATGCTTTCTTATAATGATGCCTTTCATTCTCTGTTTCATCCATTTTTGCCCCTAAGTTATAGAAAAACAACTGTTCAAAACTTCATACGCTTTCAATTTTCAGGCAACTAACCAAACACTTGCTGGTCGTAAGGTGCCGCAACTCGGGGCAAAAAGTTGTAGACATCATAGTGGTGCCAATATTATAATGGAAAGAAAATAGCCACACAAAAGAAGCAAGCCACCATTTACCTTTTTTTGCTAGTTTAACTTACCGCTGATTTCGCTGAATCCTGGAAATTGGATCAGCTTATGCCAGCAGCAACCAAGGTGATTGCCTCATAGCTGTAGTTGCGTCTGTATTTTTTTCTTTCTCATTCGTATAGCTTTGTGCGCCTTGATATTCCTAAAGCTTCTTTTCTCCCTGTTTGCGGAAATGGTGGGAAAATTCAGCTCTGGATTTCGCACCGTGATGTGTACTGTCCGCACAACCCAACACTTACTTTGACCTCGATAAGAACATTAAACTAGCAAATCAGATGCCCCAATTTCTGGTTAAACTCCCTGCTTTCCCTTATTTGATTCTCTCTTTTGCGAAATTCCAGTTTTTTTAGCCACCTTTTGTATCGTAGTCCTGATTCCCCATGTTTTCTTTTTTTCTATATACTGAAGTTTATCGGACACCTGCCCCATGTTTTTTTTTTTCAACTTCAAAAAGCGAAATTCACGGGTAAACAAACAACAGCTCTGACTTAAGGAAGCTGTTCACACTCATTTCAGTTAATCTCAACACTGTCAAACAGAAGTAGTATGGTCTTGCGATGACTTTATGCCAGTTTTTTTGCTCGCTTTCAATTTCCTGTTCTGTTAGAAGTCAGTGAGTGCGTTTCCTGAACAATATTTTAGAGAACGAACATACAGCTGTCGTACCAAGTTGGGCAGTTAGGCAAGTTGGTGCGTATTCATTTTCTTTACGCAAAAACTTAGGAAGAATGAAGCACACCCACATAGAGAACAAAAATAACACGAGAGGGAAGGCACTCAGTGCTTTCTACAGTTATTGCTTTACAGGACATTAAGAGGTAGCAAAGTCCTATCTGATGAACTTTTGTGCTCCGGAGGCTATCTATACTTTGATTGCGGTAAAAAGATTTATAAAAAAATTACGCGCATATTGAAAATCTCGGTGACTTGGACCTACACATCCAGCTAAATTATGCACATATGCGAATAAATTTCTCCCATCTCATCAAAACTCTGAATGAAATTTTAACAAGCAAATAGTGTACTGCCGAAACTGTGCCTCTCTAAGGAGTGCTTGTACATAAACCAGATCAGCTTTCATGTTAAAAAGTACCATGTTTTTCGTAATGATACATTATGGACTGGACTATATTATTTTACCTATGGACGTTATAGTGCGTTAGATTGGGTATCATATATCGTTTAATGAGATATATGATACCCAATCCGTACAATTCCTGGCTAACGAAAGCAGTAGAAATCTGTAAGCATTCTGGTGAAACCAGATCAGCTTTCATGTTCGAAAAGTACCTTGTTTTTCGTAACGGTACAATATAAACTAAACTATACTATCTTACTTACTGACGTTATAGTGCGTTACGTTGGGTATCATATATCTTCCTATGAGATATATGATACCCAATCGGTACAATTTCTGGCCAACGAAAGCAGTAGAGATCTGTAAGCATTCTGACCCGTACTCATCCTCGGCCAACAAGCGTACTAAAATCGTCGGATAAAAACAGAGGTAATGACAACTATGACCGGATAATTTTCGTATAGGCAACTCTGACATATCCTAGCTTTCCATGCTAGTGAAGCTAAGCAACAATATCAACCACAAAGAAAGAAGTCTGTGTAAATAGAACACTATTAACAGCGCAAAACAACATTGCAGAAGAGCTTACGTCCGCACACCACAATGAAAGCAAGAAAGCAAAAACCAGAAAAATATACTTTAGGAACACCATAAGCATTTTGAGGTAAAGGAATGCACTATGCAAATAAATATGCATGTTAACTCGGGCACTCCTCTTATTCAATTTTTTTGCATGTTGCTTTTTCAGTATGGCTTCCCTACATCATCAGCAGTTAAATAACATTCGTTCGCACATTATAAATCATACTCCTCACTCGAACAACAACAACCAATCAGTTGGATTCAGATCGACATATTTAACGACCATACCTGGCAATAGAGATGAGAAAAACAGTACTTACTATCTGCAAGTGTGAAGTTTATTAGAGTATATGTCTCGAGATATAGCACACCTGCGTACCTTGCGCATGGTATTTCTTTAATGAAAAAAAGGGGTTGTATGTTTCAGTGTGCTCATATGTCATCGTGTTAAAAGTGAACACTTGTACAGTATTTTCATTCTATACATGAGTGCGCTAAAGCAGCTCTCTGCTACGTGAGACAGAGACGAACGAGACGAGTCGCACGGTGCGTTCTCAGCCAATCTGCTCTAACTGCATCCTTGCGTGGGAAGTAAAGGACACCATGCTATTCATATTTAAGTTCCCTGCACCTCTTGATCCCCATGGCGGTATATCATAGATGAAGGTAGAAAAGTTGCTGAACATTGGACTGCAATTCTTCTGGTGTTCCACGTCCGCCATCGTTTTGGTATTTATTATGCAAACACAAACAAATGTGCAAAAAATGAGAAGGATAGCGGGAGAAGGCAGTCTGACAGCTGCCAAAGGGCAAACTGAGAAGATGCAGAACGCGTGCCGGCTTTTTGAGGTGCAGCCAGAAAAAAGAGAGCGCTAAAACGGGAATAAAAAACGGAAAATAAATAAATAAAAGACAACAGAACGCATGTTAGGAGTAAAGCTGCCCTGGTGTTTTAAGTTGCAAAGCAAGGATGGTTATGAGGCCCTCCGCACTGAGAGAGACTGAAATCATTTGCACGTTTTGCGCGATGCTCATAAGAACTTTGTCCGTGCAAGCAGGCGCGTAGAGACGTTCGTCATGATTTCAGACACGCTGAGTGAGTGTCGTTGAGTAGCCGTTCAGACCAATACGGGCACAAATAAGGGAAACACTTTAACACAGCAAGGCTATACGCAATAACCACGACAATTATAGTTAGATAACTTCTGTTGCATTCTTTTTCTTAATCTCAATGATAATAATACTTGATTCATTAACCAGTGTAGCATAGTACTTACAACAAACCCAAATTTATGTGACCTTCTTTTCCAAGTGTTTCGAAGCTTGGGGTGTTGGGCGCTACGCCTTGCTAAGCGAAGTTTACCAACAGTATAAATAACGTATAATGCGTTTATAGCGCAACAGTTTTCTGCCAATCTCCTGTTACTCCTATTGTAATATCTTTCTCGCTGATTTTACTCCCTTCGGAGTAATAATATTTATTACTATTTGTTTGTTTACAGTACAAGAAAGCTTTCCGATTACCGAGAGGAGATTCGGAACTGTTCATTATTGCCATTTGGGAAAGCTGAGGTGTGGACGTAGCTTTCAGAAAGTTTTGATACAGGAGATTTCTGTTTCATCTTCACCCTATAGTGAACTACTTATAAAGTGAACTGCGCCTTTATGCAGGACTTTCACCCACCCTTGATGGGATGAAGCAAGGTACACAGACGCACGGTTCGTTGTGTGTGTACGTCTCGTGAAGTAGAATTTGTTAGTATATTGTAAATCGCGAAACACACGTTTTGTGGATTCATCTTACGCGTACGCCGAGAAAACAAAGCGTTAGGACAAAATACCGCCCCAATCCTCCTTTCTTGGGGGCTGGCGAGTATCAGGAGCATGTTACTTTCAACTTCCCCAAGAGGTTTCGTGGTTACATTGTTCATAATTTAAAGTGTATCTAATGTAAATCTTCGGAGCCTTCAACTACGACGTCTCTCATAATTATATGATAGTTTTGGGACGTGAAACGCCATATTATTATTATTATTATTATTATTATTATTATTATTATTATTATTATTATTATTATTATTATTATTATTATTATTATTATTATTATTATTATTATTATTATTATTTATGGCTTAATGACATTACTGGGCCTTTCTCAGTTGACAGTGTAAAACATAATCCCGTATTTTCTCTATTTCAGTTTCTTTTGTGACAAAAGCCTGGATTCCCTTTGTGCACCAATACGTTTGATGAAAGTATTCGAAACTAAGTACGATAGGCAAACCAAGGTTTAATCTAAGATCACTGTCGAACGCAACTATTGAAAAATTATGTGTCCAAGGTTTTCTAATTTCGGTTTCAATTACTTTCCGTTATCTGTTGATGCTACTTCTTTTCGTTGAAGTCGAGAACAAACGTTCTTTGTTTTTGAAGCTGGGACAAACTTCTAAATGATAAAGTGCTAAGAATTAGGGTGCGGCTTATCACGAGATTGAATCGTCCCGCGTGTGGTGCGGGACCACGTAAATATCGGCACGCTTTATCCCTGGGATTACGAGAAAGAGCCGTGCA